TATCGCGCCACTTCTTCTCTCGAACCTTCGGGAATTGTCGGGGGATTACTAGATATAGGGTAGACTGGTATATATATAAGATGGTGACAACGTGACGGGATGATGCGTGTTGGTAGTGAGTAATTGAACTGCAGTCAGAAAGTATTGTTGAAGTTAACTTTCGTTGTTATAGCGTATGTTATAGAGCGACTGTTGAAAATAAGTGTATCGGTAAAGTTATATTCAGAAAGAATAAACCAGTTTTATTAAGAAAGGACTTGCGCTAAAGTTTCGTGGGAACGAAGTTACGGAAAATCAACTAACGAACGGAGACGTAACATTAAGTTTTATTCATTTGATATTATTGACTTATTCAAGTATTTAGTATTAATAATATTTATCTCTTTGGAAAACCGTTTTTATTCAAGATAATTTTAATATGAAGCGGTTCTTTATGAAAATATTCATACGTGTTAGCTATTTGATAGCGTAATAAATTAAATCTAACCAAATTTATCTTTGAAAAATTCGGAATCCAAATATTAAGATGAAAGCATAAAATTTTAAACGTTTCTTAAATTCGCAGTGTATCTAAAGAAGCAAGCTGTTGTGTATTATTTTTTGGTTTATGTACCAGGAAAACCATAGATTGTGTGAGTTTGCTTTGATTCTTATTTGTAATTTTTCATAAATAAATTATAAACACCGACATCTACCGTATTCCTTGAAAGGCGCCTTATTAGAAATGTTAGAAAGCTCTTATTCCAAATAGGCGTCAAAGTGAAGGAAAAATTAGACTCTTAAGTCTTAGAGTATGTAGAAATATATAATTTATAAATAAACGACTACAGTTTTATTGCTGATAAAAAGTTAATCTTACACAATAACTTGTCTGTAAGTTTTTTATCTTCATTTGTTCTAAACAACTTAGCTCTTATAAGGGTCAAGTACCGTATAGCCTATAGTTAAGTTCCTTTGATATTTTGTTAACGACATTGATGTCATCGTCATGTTTTCGTTATTCATTTAATAAAATTAATGATTTATTGATACTGTTGTAATGTGACATCGTATGATTTACAAATAATGAACTACTTATTTTTATAGTAGTAATTCCGAAAGTAAGACCACCATTTTATTATTGTGAATTTATTGTTTTATACATTGTAAAGTTACCCGACTGTTTTTAATTTAATACTTTATTAAAAACTTTAAATTTAATGTTTAAACTTTTAACTTGATATAAAAGTTAAAATTAAAATAATGCCATGAACATATAGTAATGGTTTTGCCTTTTGCTTGTCCTTGATGATTGGTTGAAACCAGTAGAAATTTAATTATTTAGCCTTTTAGTAATGCTGATAGTAATACTACCAAGGTGGTTCCTAGTTTAGAAAATCAAATTTTTTACCTATGAGAAGAAACCTAAAAATATGAGCTACCCAACAACTTAAATGTCTCGCCAAATTTTTACTGATTATACCCTTATCAGAAGAGTTTTTCTCTGTAGTTCATACAAGTGACTTATCAGGTATTTATAATCATTAGGGCTTGGATAAACTTCCAATTTTAGGTTTATTGGGTTGATCAAAAATAATATTCAAGACAAAATCATAAGTTTTAGAGCAAACAATTATAAGCTGTGGAGTCCTGTATTCCTTTAAATTTTTTTAGACAGTATTATATGATGGGCTATATTTAGGTTGAACTGATTTATTTGTTTGGTGATCTCAATAGAATTTTGAGATTACTTAGAATTATAATAAGGTATTTAGTTATAGTTTAGTTATTTATTCTGGTACATCCTCTATAGGTTTCATATTTTCCATTCAAATGTATACTTAACTTCTAATCACCTCGAGGGCTATCATACAGTCTTACCCAGATTGAACAAAATTAATTTAATGTATACATAACTTATCAACACCTAGAGGACATATCATACAATCTCATCTAGAATGAATAAAATTGTCAAATGATCAAAGGTAAGTGATGATGTGGTGCATTGAAGCTGTGAAGACATGAATTTTGAAGGTGTTTTAAGTGAAACTTTAGAAAGTTAGTAGGCATATTAGCATAAGTTAGTACTTATGAATGACATATACATTGAAATGTTGGTAATCAAAAGTTTTCCAGCAAATGTATTCCTAATTTTTATGATGAGTTTATCTGAATATTATATAGTGTGATAAGTTTTTTTCAAGAATCTCTGTTTACAGAGATCTGTTGAGACAAGTTACTAACTTGAAACTTAAATTTTGAATAGCAAAAACAAAATATACAATAATTATTCACTATCACTTGATTTTGATACTTAGTATCTGATTTACTTATCAGTATCACATGCATGATTTACTTTGTCAAAGAAATAGAATGTAGTTCTGCCAAAGATTGCTTTATAATAGCTTGTAAATTTTTTTTTTAGTACTTTGTAGAATTTAATGTTGGTTTGTGCTTGAGGAAATGAATGTATTTCCTTGACACAGCTGCTACTTTAAAGATACCTCACCATACATTTTAAGAAATTTTAATTTCAAAGTGAAGACTGTGATTGTTTTATTAGGTAATAAATTTAGGTCACATGTAACAATCAAATTCTGTCTGATTAAAGTTTGACAAGATTCTCTTGAAAACTTTTGATAATGCTTAAATTGTTTATTTGTTACTCTTCACAATTAAAGAGTATTTGAGAATAGCATAGACAGTCAAGAAGAGCATGTTACAATTTATCTTCATGTTGTTCCACAGTGCATCTTTTAAAATTGTTATTTAATGCAAGTAGGTGAATAGTGCTGCTGCTATAAGGCATGTCTAATTTACCCAAGAACAACTTAGAAGAACATCTAGCTCAGTTTGCTGCATCCAAAAAGATAGAATTTAATGTCACTTCTTCAGCATCTACAAAAAGGTAAGCATGTACTGTCAATAAGTCCCTCTAGTGACCTTTCAGCCATAAATTTGGTTTATAAACCAATAGAGTAAAAACTCCAAGTGTATAATGCTTATTTAACATTAAAGGTTCCAATCAGTTGTTCTAGCTTATTATCTGCCAGAGAAATTTGTTTTTCAAACAAAACTTTCCTAATCACCCACCCACCCCCAAAAAAGTTTATTAACACTTAAATTTAAACTGTTTTTAATACTTTCTCTTCTGGTACTTTCTGTAGAAAGAATAATTGTTATGTCTGAATAGCTGTGCTTTTGTATAAAGAAAGTTCTATACATACTTTTCTAATTGGAGGTGTTTTTAAGTTAAAAAATATAAGATGCAAAAAAAGGAATCCTTATAAACCATTAATGTAAAATATGGATAATGCTAGATTTAAAATATTATACTGTTTTCTTTATAGATTATTGAATAATATGTTGTTTTTATTTACCAGAAACTTCACATTTCGGAAATCGCTGAGCCTAAGTAAACATAACTCAAGAGGTGAAGAACAAAACAAACCTTTAAAGATAGATCCAGAATGTTTTCAAAGCAAGATTACTGCAATTCAGCAAACATCTTTACATTCATTTTTCAAGAACTGCAATACTTCTTCAGTAAATAAAACTGTATGTGGTGACCCTGGTGATATGGAATTTGATTCAGCTCCTACAAGTATGCCTCGTCCAATTGCCACAGTTACACCACAAATGTGAGTTGTTTTTGTTTTGCATGATGTTATTAGCAACATGTATCTCAGTGATTGCAAATTCTTGACAAATATCAATTCTGTTTATCTAAAGGAAGTTGATCTGGATTGGATGTTGAATTACATGTGATGTTAGTTACTGACAATTAGAAGAATAATGACCATTTTTCAGAGAATGTAAGTAAGTGTCCTTGCAAATTTGACATATACATGTCTGTAACTCTATACATCTCATTCCCATCTGGATGTCTAACTATAAATTTAAATAATATACACAAAACAAACTTACATTACATAAACATTTTAATAGCAAGTTCTTAACCCTCTTATGATAATAACAACAAATTTACAACACTACAGTGAATTTAAATAAAAATAATACTGATTTATAGCTTAGAGTGTCTTTAAAGGTAATGTAGCAAAGTCTGTATGAGAAAGTATTTTAGTTGGATAGAAAGCGTCAGTTGAATAAAAGTACAAAAAAGTTTTAATGTGTGTGAAACATGCAATATTTAATTGAATCTTATCTGAGGGAGAGTTTGGGGATGATGTGATGATGCTGTTTAACACATAGTCTTTGATTTCATGGGCTTGTGGTATAAATGTTACACTTTTATTTGGATGTCTTTTTCTTATTTGAGACTGATGTTAACATACTGATATATTAAATCTACATAATATTTATTACAGGCCTTCAAGACAACCATTGACCACAATGACTAATTTCAGGAAAAAAAGATCTCCATCTTCAATTGTTTGTCAACCTAAAACAAATGCAATGGAAAACTCCTTCAGTAAGAATTCTGTACTGTCCATTCCTGTAGATAAATATGACTTGGGATATTTTGAAACTGTTTCCCAGAGAGCTGGTTAGTTCATGTTTTCACATACCATAATATATTTGATTGTGGTATCTGTTTATAATAGTTTTTTTTTATTTTACTGAGAGTGATATGCTTCTGTGAGATAAAAGCTTAAATAAATGGATTTGTAAAGATAGTTCTTAACATGGATAATAGTTTTTAGATCATTATAAATTGTTAATTAAAGCTTATGGCGTTCAAGTCCACCAAAAATTTTTTTTTTTCTAATTTGAATTATTTTTGAAAAACTTTGAAAACTACAATTTCACGCAAGTACTTGCTCTTAAATTATTGTGTTAAAGTACAAGATATATTGGATAATATTGCTCTTATGATGAATAGATTTTCTATTTGTTTTTGAGATGCCCTCAACACCTGGATGTTATTTCTACAGTTCATACTTTTTTGTAGCAGTTGTTCAACTGGTATGAACATCTTTTTTTTTTTTTGACCAGCCCTACAAGTAACTGTGAAACATGGTGGACACAATGTTATGGTCTTGTATTCAGGAAGGTCAGAGTTTATTTTTGTTGAGTAACAACTGATTGCTGAAAGTATATCACTTTTAGCAAATGGACTACTGCTGTTGTACAAATCAGGAAACCTGAACAAATCTAACTTTTTTTTTTCAAGAAGATGATGCACACTGCCAGAAAAACTAAAGCCTGGAAAAAGGTAAAAAGAATCAAGTTTTTAATCTGGGATGCTCAAAGCCTGGACATAATTCAATGAAACATGTTTAGGAGCACTTGTATAGATGCTTACAATGTCAACAAAACAAGTGAACATCTGCTTAAGAACTGAAAATGATTGTCGGAAGAATGGCAAAATCTACTTCAAACTATTATTCAAAAAATATTTGACCCTATATATATACCCTAAAGTATTTGGTGTTATTACAGCAAAGGAAGAACAAATAATTATTAATATGTACCATTGTATTTGTTATAGTTGAATAGATTTTGTTAAGGTGTATTTTTTTGTATTTTACTTTTGGTTGAAATATCACAACTTACTTTATGTTAAAGGTAAGCAAAAATATTAAAATAGGGATTGTGTCTTTAAAGATTGATGATGGCAAGGATTTTGTTGAAGACTGTGAGATGACTTGGCTTTTAAATGTTCTCTTATATTTTACAGAAACAATATTAGCAATATTTTTGACCCTGAGCATTTTGTTGGAAATACTGAAATTGACTTGAATCATATAGATATTAATCCTATGTGCATGGATGGGGGTCAAAGTGTACATGCCACAACCTTTGACAGAGTACCATTCAACATGGTATTATATATTTGATGTCAGGGATATCAGCTATTTGAATTGTAGGATATTGGATAGGAGGAGGATAAAAGTTATTAATTGGGTCCAATCAAATTAGACTCTTGCTAATAGTGGAGTACCTCAAGAATCAGTGCTTGTGTCTTTGCTTTTTTTATTTATTAATGGCCCCTCAAGGTGGATTCCTGTATGTGGTGAGGGGACCTCCCAGGAAAGGTTCTGTATTTTCATTTACCTCCTCTGAGATCTGAACATCCACCCACATGTTTGTCGTGTGTGGAGAGCTGTGAAGGGGAGGAGAGGATCCTGGTGGTTGAGTGGTGTCTGGAGCACTGCAACACACCACTTTGGCCTTGAATTCAATCGACTAGCTCTTTTGGGCTAGGGTCAACTGAGTACCAGTGTTGGACATTCTCAACGGGTGTTGGGGACATTGTGTCTCATGCTGGTGTTTGGGTATAGTGCTCACGAAGCACTGGCATTGCTGCAGTGTCCTTGTTTAGCATTGTGGTGCATCCCCTCGTAGGACCACATGGTGGGTGGGGTCAGTGGGCACTGAATCTTTCTCCTTTCATTATGGATCCCCCAAATCCTCAAAAATCCTTGTTTTTTTTACCTTGCATTCCTTGTCAGACAAACCTTTAGGGCAAATGTCTCCCTTTTTTATTCAGAAGGGATTAGAGTTAAGAAGCTACATTCTGGGGACATCTAGGTGCAAACATCTACACCAAAACACACTGAACTCCTCCTGAATTCAAAGGCCATTAGGAATATACCCATTGAGGTTACTCCCCATGTTACTTTAAATTCCTCACTAGGAGTTAGTGTTGAAAGAGATTTGAAGAACATCCCCGAGTCTGAGATCCTTGCTGGTTTCTCCAGCCAAGGAGTTTCTGCAGTGCAACATATCCCCACTCGTAAATAAGGAATTATGCTGCCTACCAATGTTCTTATTTTGACATTTACATTGCCATGTCTGCCTGCTACTGTTGAGGCAGGTTATCTGAACTATAAGATACAGCCATATATTCCCAACCCGGTTCAATGCGGTTCGGTCATTCGAAGGCATCTTGTTGTGGATCTGTGATATGTGCTCGTTGTGGTGGCAAAGACCATGATGGCTATCAGTGTGAACTGTACCCTCACTATGTTAATTGTAGTGGTTCCCACCCCTCTTACTATAGATCTTGCCATACGTTGGTGGAGGAGAAAGAGCTGCAGCATTTAAAAACGGTTAACAAAATTTTTTATCTGGAGGCTCGAAAGTTCTTGTCCCCGACTCCATCGTGGACATGCGCTTCTGTACTCCATTCCACTGCTACAAGGGTATACAGACAGAGCTTTCCATGCCTCCTTAAGAATCTTTTTATTATCATGTGAAGAGTCTTTTGACCTCTATGGATAAACAAGTTGACAAGTCCATGTCTACTCCTATCTCTGTCCCCACCATTCCTGCAAGTAACTTCCCGGGTCCATCTCTTTCAGCCCTTGCTTCTGGTCTCTGCTCTGGTCCATCTTCTTTGGCCCCGAGATGCAGAATGATTATTAGTTCACGCTCTCAGTCGCTTGAATCTAAGTCTAATGACAGAGATCTGCCCACTTGACCAAGGGCAGAATCCATGGAGGGCAATATACCTCTTTCTAGTAAAGAAAAGCAGTGTGGTCATAAACTCGGGTCACAACCTTTCTCTCTTCCATACCGGTTCCTTTACCTATTTTCATGCACCTAGTCAGTTTTTTCTGCTGTTGATCTTTCTATCTGTTCCCCTTCACCTTTCTCTCATTTTTCTTAGAGGTTTGACAGTGATCCCACAGGGCAGTAATCATTTTCCGATTGTTTTGAAGGAGATTGTCTGTGGTCGATGCCACCCGACTTGATGCCACTGTGGAAGTTGGACCAGGCCGACTTATTCTCTTTCGCCTCTCGGAACTCGATCCTGCTGTCGTTAATCTTCCATCTAATAATGACTGCATGGAGGCAATAACTGACTGCATAATTTAAGCAGCTGTTTGTTCTTTATCTAAAACCTCAACATGTTTCCCATGGTATTTTTGTCCATTGTGGTCTCCAGCCTGCCAGCAGGCACGGAAGGCTCAGAAACGGGCCTGATAAACCTTTCTCAGGTATCCCACTCTTTCTAACCGTATTGCTTTCCAGTGGGTCCATGCTTGGCAGGTCAGACATCAAAGTCAAAAGGAATTTTGGATTAAGCTTACAACTGGCATCTCTTCTTCCACCAGTTCCAAAGTCCTATGGGACTAGATTCAAAGCGTCAATGGGATGTATGCTTCCCCATTCCCTTTCCATCTTGATCTCCAATGGCCTGGAAGTTGCCTTTGTACAGAACATCTTTGATGCTTTTGGTGAGAGATTTTCTCGTGCATCCAGCACTTCTGTTTTTTCCCCCGCCTTCTTGGCCATCAAGTCTCAAGCGGAGCAATCACCTCATTCCTTTCGGGCTGATTGTCTCTACGATTATAATTGCCCCTTTATACTGGTGGAATTGAAGCTTGCTCTTCATCGGTCTGGCAGTTCATCAGTTGGATCTAATGACATTCACTGTGAGATTCTGCACCATCTCTCTCCTGCCTCACTTGCTCTTCTTCTGGTTGTTTTTAACTGGATCTGGTAAGAGAAAGTTTTTTCTTATGCTTGGCACCAGACTATTATCTTACCTTTCTCTAAGCATGGGAAGGATCCCAAGATTCCTTCTAATCATCATCCAGTTGCTTTGACTTGTCTTGTTTGGTTCCTTGAATCAAACAACCTCCTCTCGCCCACCCAATGTGGGTTCCTTTGTCAGCTCTCCACCGTGGACCACCTGATTCAACTTGAGAGACTTCAATCAGAGGAACCTTCCTCTAGAGTGAACATATATAAGTTATATATTTGTTGCTAAGCAACATGACATATTTTAAAACTGGTAGTTTACTTTGTAACTTCTTGATAGCAAATTTCGTATAACGACATATGACAAAATTATTTTGAACTCACTATAAAGTTTAGGTGAAATATAATAATTAATTTGTATTGTCTCTTTATAAAAAGTACAATCATTAGTTTTCTTTGTAAACCTTTTTAGATGCCTTCATTTTAGAAAGCACCAAACCTGTGTAAATTTTTTATGATAAAAATGTTTAGCCAAACCTTGTAAAAGTATTATTATTAATACAGTGATGAATTTACACTCTTAGTTTTCATTTTTGACTAAATTATTTTTTGACATATAAAGAAGGTCATAAAACTGACATCAGTAAACCCAAAGTAACTAATGCTAACAAAGCAACAGCACTAGAGGGGGATGAAGAAACTTCATTGGCTGAGGATGGAAGAAAATATGGCCAATGAAAAGGTCTATTAAAAGTGATGATGAAATTGCAACAGGTTATTGTAGTATTTTTGTGGATATAATTTGATTAACAGTTTCTGGTTATATGTTTGTAACATTTTGTGATTATGAGATTTTTTAAAATAAATTTTGAATTATACATAAAAAATGTTTAAATACCAGTTTGGGTACAAATAACTAAATAAATATATAAAATATATTTTACTTCTTCTGATAGCTTATATATGGTTATATACTTCGGCACATCCTCCGTGTCCTCTCTTCCAGCTCTTGGGGAGCAGATCGATGTTCTATGTTCAGGATCTATCGTGCTTTGATTCGATCCAAACTGGACTATGGGTCTATGGTTCTGCCAGGACCATGGCCCTGAAGATGCTGGACCCCATTCAACATCTGAGGCTTCGGCTCTGCACCGGTGCTTTTCGCACTTCTCCAGTCCAGAGTTTGTACACTGAGTCCTACGAACCTTCTCTTCACCTCCGTCGTTTGCAACTTTCTTTACAATATGTTACTAAGCTTCGATCCTTACCACGACATCCCATCTGGGATTGTGTTTTTCTTCCTCAGTGGGCAATGCTCTTTCAGAACAGACGGTCTGCTATTCCTCCATTTGACCTTCGTATCCGGGCATTACTGGCTGAATTGATCAGCTCATTCCACCATGGCTTATTACCATCCCATCCTGTGACCTTTCCTTGAGTCATCTGGGGAAGGCAGATACTCCCAATTGGAAGTACCGTCTTCTTTTTTTGCCTAACATCTTTCGAACCATTCCTCTCTTCCCATTTACACGGATGGTTCGAAATCAGGTGACTCTGTAGGTTCTGCCACAGTTTGCTGTGGCTCGGTAGTTGCTCGCAAGATCCCCTCTACAGTTTCTGTGTTCACTGCCGAGTTATATGCTATTTCTCTTGTAGAAGCTATGCAATACAGTAATTGTACTATTTACACTGATTCTATTAGCTCTCTACTGGCCCTGGAATCGCTTAACGTTAGTTCTCACCCTGTTCTCGTCGATATTCAACACCGATTGGCCCACTTTTCTCTATCTTCTATTTCCATCCAGTTTTTCTGGATCCCTGGCCACGTCGGTATTCATGGGAACGAGCTCGCTGACACCGCAGCTAAGTCCGTCTGCTCTGGTGCCATCACGGCCGTGCCTGTCCCATACATGGACTACAGTCCTGTCTTCAAGGTGCGGCTTCGTGCCAGTTGGCAGTCGACTTGGAGTGAGCAACGCCATAACAAGCTTTTCCAGATCAAACCTTCTGTTGGTCTTTGGCTGTCTTGCTTCCGTAAGGATCGGAAGGAGGAAGTAGTCCTGGCAAGGCTACGCATTGGTCATAGTTTTTT